TTTTCATTTTAGTGAGTTTTAAAAATGTATAGGTGCTGAAATTTGTCAAATGCTTTTTCTATATCAATTGCTATGACCATTTGGTTTTTCTTCTTTTGCCCTATTAAGTGGTGGGCTACACTGATTAATTTTTGAATATTCAACAAACCTTGCATGTTATATTTTCACTTTCATTTAGTTCAAAGTGTTCAAAGTGTAGCTTGACTCATCTCATTTAATTCTTTTTTCAGGCTGTTTTAGCTACTGTAGTCCTTCTGCCTTTCCATATGTATTTTATTATAATACTGCCTACATCTACAAAAAATATTACTGAGATTATGGTAGATTTTGTATTTTCTTTGAGACTTTATCTTTGACATACAGAAGTGTATTTAATTTTTGAGCATTTATAGACTTTTCAGGTATCTGTTATTGATTTCTTTTTTAATCCCATTGTAATTAAAGAATACACTCTCTCTGACTTCATTATTTTCAAATATTGAGATTTACTTTATTGCCCAGGTCTACTTTCATACATGTTCTGTGGAGGCACCTAAAAGATTAAATAATTTAAAGTCTCCCACCATAATTGTGGACCTGTCTGTTTTTCTGCATTTTATCAGTTTTCGCTTTCCATGTCTTATAGTTTGTCTGGTGCATACATTTAGGATTTTTAGGTCTTCCTGTTGAACTGACTCTTTTGTCATTATGGAATATCCTATTCTGTCTTTGGTAATTTTCTTTTTCCTCTAAAATATACTTTTTCTGATATTAATACAGTTGTTTCTACTTTCTTTTAATCGATATTTGTATATCTTTTCCATTATTTTATTGTTAACCTACCTTACTGTTATATTTGAAATGAGTTTCTTATAGATATCTTATTACTGAGTCTTGTTGTTTAATCTTCTCTCAATCTCTAGTCTTTTGATTGGTGGATTTAGATCACTTACCTCACATTTAATTACAGACATGTTAAGGCTTAAATCTGTTACTTTATTCCCCTCTATCTCCAATTTTCCTTTGGGTTAAACACTTGAGTTCCAAACTGATTTATCTATTGTTTTTTAGTGTATAACTCTGGATAACTTTTTAAGTAGTAGCTCAATGTAGCTATTGCACTAGATATATAACTTACTAAAGTTTACCAGTATCTTTTTACCTAATCAAATGAAATATAGAAATCTTACCATCCTTTAACCTCTATAATTTATAATATTCTCATCTATTTTGGTAACCACGACTCAAAAGAAGAAAAAAGTCTATCATACTTGTCTATATTTTTRTTTACTGTGTTCTTTCTTTCATTACAGTGTTCTAAGATATCTTTCTTTCATATTTCATTTCCACTAGAGAATTTCCTTTAGCCATTCTTTTATGGCAGATCTGCTATTTAAAAATGTTTAGTTTGGGGTTGGCTTTGCTCCTTGAATCTGTAGGTGTTTAATTCTTTTTGCTAAATCTTAGAAGTTTTAGAGTTATTCTCTTTCTCCTATCCTTCCAGGACTGATGACWCATCACAAAAATGTTTGTTATAATCCCCAGAGTCCCTGAGGTACTCCTTTCCCCCAGTCATTTTTGTCTTTGAAGTTTAGGACCCTTGTTTATTTATTCCTTATTTTTTTAAAAAAAAATTTTTATCTTTTAGTTGTAGTTGGACACAATACCTTTATTTTGTTTACTTATTTTTATGTGGTACTGAGAATCAAACCCAGGGCTTGCACATGCTAGGTGAGTGCTCTACCGCTAAGCTACAACCCCAGCCCTTATTCCTTATTTTTTGTGGYGTTGGGGATTAAACCCAGGTTGCACATGCTAGGCCAGCACTCTACCTCTGAGCCACACCTCCAGTCCATCTCTGCAGTTTAGAATGAGTAGCTTCTAATGTGTTATCATCTAGTTGTTACTTTTTTCCTCTGTCTCTTCCCTTCTGCCACGGGGTTCATCCACTGAGCCCCCTTTTGCTCTTTTTTTTTTTTTTTAATTTTAATCATATATTTGTTAGTTCTAAAATTTCTATTTGGTTCTTTTTATATTTCTTTTTTCTGAGGAGGAGAGGCAACCTTGCCTAAGGTTTATTTATACAAAAAGCATAGTAGGAGGACACCAGCTCCATGCAGATAATAGCCCAGAAGTCACACCAGTGCTTTTGTTCTTAAATTGGCCTTTACTATGAGGCCTTTGTGGGAGCCTGAACACTGCTGGGAGTCTAACACTGCTGAGACCCTTGGCAATGGATGCATGAGTATTTTTCCCAACCTTGGGGTGGGTGATGTAGGCAAGTTGATTAAGCTTGTAGGTGACACCCTTTGGGAGATTCCAGACTTAAGCTCCTTGGGCTTTATGAAGACCTTGCCAGGCTCAGTATATGCACTTGTGGTCTTGGTGTTGTTTGCCTGCATCATCTTCAGGCCCTTCTTCTTGTGCTTCTTGGAAAAACGCATGTTTTTCACAATTTTCGGGTTTACCTCCTTAAGAGATACACAGCTTTGTAATTAGGGCTTTTTAATGCTATTTCGGTGCCATTTTCCAGACTGGTTGTGTATGTGGTCCTCAAACTTGGTCATGTCTGCACCATAAACTGCTTCTTATATTTCTTTGGCTGAAACTTTCTATTTGTTGGCTAAAACTACTTTTCATTTGTTCTAGCATGTTCCTAATTGTTTGCTAAGGCATTTTCATGATGGCTACTTTAAAATCATTAGATAATTTTGACATCTTTGTCATCTCACTATTGGAGTCTGGTTTTTTTTTTTTTTTTTTTTTTTTTTTCCTATTTGAGATCTTCCTGGTTCTAGGTATCCAAGAAATTTTCCCTGAAACCTCTGTTGCATACTGTTATGAGGCTCTGCATCATAATTAAATCTCTGCTCTTTTTGGTTTCCTTTGACACCACTTGAACAGAAAAGTACTGGTGGTGGTGCTACCCCATTACTGCCGTTTGACAGTGGGAAAACCTCCTTACAATCTAACAATAATGGATATCGTGCCTCAATTTTTTTTCTCTCAATTAACATTAGAATAGTTATTTTCTAAAAGCTCTCTACCTTACCAATATTTTACTTTCCTGATCCTTTGGCCATAGTAAGGCTTTTTCTGCCCTGTCCCCATTGGTCATTTTAGCTTGTCYGTTTTTCTAGCACCTATTCTGAAGTATGAGATAAAAACAAAAACCAAGGAAAATCAATGTTGTGTGATTCAAGTAAAAAGGTCTGCCTTTTTCTATTCATCTTTTAGAATATTCCTGTATTGGTTTTATATATGATATCTAGGGTTTTAAATAGATGCACTTACCAGGAGAAATAAGAAAAAAATAAATATACTCCATATACCCAGAAGCAGATATCTTTTGACTATTATTTTGACCTTTCATCAATTCCTAAATCAGATTAAGAAATTTAAGGTTGATTCTACCCTWTTTTAGACCACAGAACAGTCCTCTGTCTTCTTAAAATACTTTATCAGAAAGTATTTTTGTTTTATCTTTTAGATAAAACTGCAATTTACATTTTGTAAATGTTTACCTATGGATTTTATAAAAATAAAATCATGTCAGATTAYTTCTTAAAGTCATTGGCTTGAGAGGTAAATTAATTTTCACAAAGTAAAATGATGTTCACTCATGAGTAAGGCAAATTCCCACCCAAATATAAACATGTATTTTATTAACCACAAATACAGAACTTTTGTAGTAAGTGCTGCCAAAATAGCCAGGAATATATTTCATTTAAATGTTCAGCAAAAGGGAAAACAGTAATTTACTGATTATAAATAAAAATGTACTGTTATTTGTTAAATAAATGAACACAAAGGCATTAGAGACAGAATTAGTAATCTAAAATTATTTTCCATTAGTTGATGCCTTATTATTTGACTTCATAGTATTTTGTTGTTGTTGTTAAAATGGAGCAATGCTGTATTTATGGTTCTTAAAAATCAATAAGATGGCCAGTATGGTGGTGCATGCCTGTAATGCCAGCAGCTTGGAAGGCTGAGGCAGGAGGATCTCAAGTTCAATGCCAGCCTCAGCAAATTATCAAGGCTCTAAACAACTCAGTAAGGCCCTGTCGCTAAGTAAAATACAAAAAAGGGCTAGCGATGTGGCTCAGTGGTTAAGTGTCCCTGGGTTCAACTTCCAGTACCAAAAAGAAAGAAAAAAAAAAATCCCTAAGATACACATTATTAATAATTAATAAATTAGGGTATGTTTCAGATATATTGAATGCCTCTCCTCCTTCCACATTGGCTCCTTTATGGTTTCAAATGTAACATATCTAACAAAAGAGCACCTCTCTAAAACAGGTAGTTTTGTCTGTTTGAAGTTGGACAAGAATAAAACAGATTTTTCACTGGGTGTGCTGTATGAAGTGAAATGTCATAATTATTGTCAATAACAGAGGACATCTTATCAACTATACATAAGAATAATATTTTATCTAAGAGTTCTTCAGTGTACAAACCACTGATGCAGAATTACTGTACTTAATTTCTGGGGGGCTAGGGATGTAGCTCAGTGGTGGAGCATTTGCCTAACATGTGTAAGGTTTGATTCTACAYACCACAAATACATCAATAAATCTGGGTTCAAGGGTTAATTGGAAAAGCTGCAAGTATTACTGTAAATAAATATTTACTGACTGCTTACTATGTTAAGACACAATGCTAGCTGTTGCTTATTAGGACCCTGTCCTCTGCTACTCTTGGAATGATGAGACTTTTTCAATTGTCTTCCTTTTGCAGCTGCCTTTACATGCTGTTATCCAGGAGGAAATTAAGCACTTTTTGGAGTAAGTTACTCATATTCTTAGCCTCTTTTTTCTTTTAATAAGACTTAAGAGTCTGTTGGAAGATGAATGTTAGAAGGCATTTCAAAAGAAGAAATTTTTCTACTTGATGATTTTGAAGGACTATTAGAGACTAATAAACTGAGGGAATAAACACCAAGAAATAAATGTTTAGGTATACGAAACATTTCTATTATGTGATAAGATGATGGATATTTAAAAGGGCCTTTTATTTACCTCTTCTACATTGGAAGCAGTCTTAGCAGAAGTTTCCATGAAGATAAGTCCATGTTCTCGTGCAAAAGCTTCACCTTCTTCTTTTTTTACTTCTCTTCTAGATTCTAAATCACTAAACATGGGACAGAAAGGGTCATGTTACTAAACATGGTACAAGGAGAGACACCTGTGCAAAGTATACAGATGAGTTTCTACAAATGTGATAAAAAGACACTGTCTACCCAATTCCTTGAAGCTACAGAAAAATTGTTTAGTAAAATCCATAGTCCTAAGGAAACATTAATTAGGTCATAAATCTCAGTATGTTTAATTATCAGTTTCTTCTAAAAGCAAAAATATTGTGGGGAGGGTATGAAGAAACAAAGCCAGAAATTCTAGATGAAAGTATGCTACTYATTTTTATCATACTAAAATTGTATTGGGCAAGGCGGGGGGAGGGATTAGACCTTCTCTTATGAGTATATTCTACTGTAAAAGTTTATAAATTTTACTATTATACAATATTTATTTTTACTTTAGGATATAACACCCATGAAATTCTACATAGCCTCGACACAATTTTCTGTTGGATTTACTTCAGTTTTTAAGATATAAAACCAACAAATATAGCTGAATCATCTCCCATGTGCCTGTGCATCCCTGGAACCACTGTCTTCCTTCTTACTTAAAAAGAAACTACTGTTTTGAATTTGGTGTTTTCATTCTCATGTACATTTTTATATTTATATTCATGTTTATAATCATAAACACAAATACTTTTTGCATGTTTACAAAAATCCAGATGTAGCTACTGTTCTACAACTTAATTCTAATTAACATTACGTTTCTCAAATTTATACATATAATACAGGTAGATCTAGTTTTCAAATTTTTTACTGTTGTACTATATTGTACTAAATGAACACACAACTTATTTTTATTTCYAGTAGACATGATTATTTTAAATTTTTCATTATTACAATGAACACGTACACACACATACACACATGTGTAAAAAAAATTGTGTATGTATGTGTGTACATGTACATGCGCCAAAGCCTTTCCAGGGAAGTATTTTTCAAACATTATTATGACTCACTGAATTGTAAAATCACTTCAGTAGGTCATAGTCAGAATTCCTTAAAAAAAAAAGAAACATAATAGAAAATATCAGTGTATATAACCCATTATTTCATGGAATGTTTGTTAAACACGTTAATTGCATACTCAATTTATGTACTAGGTTGTGATAGACAATATATTTTCTTAAAAAAACAAAAATAAAAACCCAAAAGCCATTGTACTTGAACATTATGTAGTAACAAGCTGCTTTCCAAAACAGTGGTCATGTCCTCAGTTGCCCAGGCATAAAATCAAACTGCTCTCTTTGACTTTGCTTTCCCTATAAATCTCACCTAAGTTGTTTTCTATTACTTATGTGTCTGTCTTTCCTAAGTCATTTTTTAAGTCTTATGCTCTTTTTTCCTTTTACTATTAAAAACTTTAATCTTTTAAAACTATTTCCTACTTCTTGTATAACCAATTTATAATGTCACAGTTAGCAAATTTGTGTCATCTGTCACTCTGACTAGGTCACTGCCCTTCTCAATTGCTTAATGCATTTACTTCAAAAATTGCTTATTCCTTGTTTTGATGTCTATCCCAATTCACCCCAACCAATAATAATCACCCCATTTATTTCTATTGTTCTTTCCCATTTATTATACTATCACTTAAAGAAGGGTCACTCATCTACAGTCATCAGAAACATTTCTTGTGTGTATACATTTTTCCTTTACACATTGAATTATAAGCTCCTTGTGATCATCAACCAAATTTAAAGCCACCAGTATATTCCAAGGCACAAGGAAAACACTGGCAAGATAAAAGTGAAAAATTTTTATTCTTCAAATATTCTCTTATTATTTTATACGTTGAGTTTTGACACATGTACCTGTAAAGCCATCAGTCCCCCCCCAAGTTCCTTACACTCCACTGTCATAATCCTTTCCTCCCCTATATCTTAGGCAACTAAYCATCTGCTTTCTGCCATCACAGACTAAGCCTGCATTTTCTATAATGTAGTCCTACAGTATCTGTTCTCCATTCAGCATAACTGTTTAATATTTATCCACTTTGCTGCATATATCAACAGTTCTTTCCTCTTTATTATTGAGTTGTAGTCCGTTATAATGCTGTAACACAATTTATTTATACAGTTACTCATTGACATTTGGGTTTTTCCTAGTTTTGGGATACTGCAGTGGATATATTTAATTACTTTCCCTCAGTTTTTTTTTTTTTTTTTTTTTTGGTGGTACTGGGGACTGAGCCCAGGACCTTGTGCATGTTATACGCAAGAACCCAATGAACTACATACCCAGCCTTTTAAAATTTATTTTGAAACAGGACCTCATTAAATTATCCAGGCTGGTTCCAAGCTTACGATCTTCTGGTCTCAGCCTCCCAAGCAGCTAGAATTACATGTATGCACCAGCACACCTGGCTTTATGTTTAATTTCCAATGAGACTCTAAAAATGTGGGCATCCATTTTAGATTCCCATCGGCAGTAGCTACTTTTTTTCCCCATATTTTTATTGGTGCATTATAATTATATTTAATAGTAGGATTTGTTGTTACGTATGAGTACATGTACATGATATGACAATATAATTTGGTCAACACCCTCCCCCGGTATTGTTCCTTTCCCTCTCCTCTTCCACCTGGTCCCTTTCCTCTACTGATTGCCTTCTGATTTTCATGAGACCCCCCAACCTCTCTTTTTCATTTTTCCTCTCAAGCTTCCACATGAGAGAAAACACATYATTCTTGGCTTTCAGAGTTTGGTTTATTACACTTAACATAATGCTCTCAAGTTCTGTCCATTTTCCTGCAAACRACAATTTTGTTCTTCTTTATGATTTAATAATACTACATTACATACATATACCTCATTTTGTTTATCCATTCATCCACTGAGACACCCCTAGGCTGGTCCAATATTTGGCTACTGTGAATTGCACTTCTACAGACATGGGTATGCACACATGGCTACAGTATGGTGACTTTAATTCTTTAGGATAAATACTGAGGAGTGGTATAGCTGGGTTATACAGTGGTTTCATTTCTGTTCTTCTGAAGAATGTCCTTATTGAATTCCATATAATTCTACCAACAGTACAAAAGTGTTTCTTTTCCTTACATCCTCTTCAGCATTTATTATTCTTTGTATTTTTTAAAAATTATTTTGAATTTTAATCATAGCAAATATGTTTTAAATGTAGTTATGAAATCAACATTACCACATATACAAAGGACAAGACTCCAGTTTGGCATACAAAAAAATACCATATATTAAAATTAGATTCACTGGGAAAACTCAGGTGTATTCTGATTTTTTTCTTTTTTTTTTTTGGTAACAAGGATTGAAACTAAGGGTACTTAACCACTGAACCACATCCCCAGTCCTTTTTATATTGTATGAAGAGACAGGGTCTAGCTGAGTTGCTTAAGGCCTTCCTAAGTTGCTGAAGCTGGCTTTCAACCTTCAATCCTCCTGCTTCAGCCTCCTGAGCCTTGTCTAACTAATTGTACTCTTGATAGCTACCTTTCTAACTGGAGTGAGATGAAATCCCAGCGTAGTTTTGATTTGCATTTCCCTAATTGCTAAGTATGTTGCATATTTTTTCATATATTTGTTGGCCATTTGTATTTCTTTGAGAAGTGTCTGTTTAGTTCATTTGCCTATTTGTTCACTGGGTTGTTTTTTGATGGCAAATTTTTTGAGTACTTTATATACTTTGGGTATTCATCCTGTGTCAGAAAAGTAGCTAGCAAAGATTTATCTCATTCTGTAGGTTTGTTCTTCACTAAGACTTAAATTTTTTCTTTGTCATGCAGAAGCTTTTTAATTAGATGCAATCCCATTTATCAATTCTTGGCATTATTTCCTGAGCTTTAGGAGTCCTACCAAGGAAGCCATTGCCTATGCCTATATGGTAAATGTTGGCTCTATTTTCTTCTAGGATTTGCAAACTCTTTGGTCTAATTCCAAGGTCTCTGATTTATTTTGTGTTGACTATGTTCAGGCTGAGACAAAAGAGATCTAGTTTCATTCTTCTATATAACCAGTTTTCTCAGAACCATTTATTAATAAGGCAGTCTTTTCTYCAACAGTGTTTTTGGTGCCTCTGTCAAGGATCAGATGACTGTAGATGTGTGGATTTGTCTCTGTGTCTTCTGTTTTGTTTCACTAGTCTATGTATCTGTTTTTATGCCAGTACCACACAGTTTTTGTTACTGTAACTCTGTAGTACAATTTGAAACTGGGTATTATGATTCCTCCAGCATTTTATTTTTTTGGCTTAGAACTGCTTTGGTTATTCTGTACCTTTTATTCTTCTAAGTGAATTTTAGAACTGTTTTTTCTAGTTCTGTGAAGGATGTCACTGGTATTTTGATGGGAATTGCACTGAATCTATATGTTGCTTTTGATGAATGGTAATTTTAAGAATGTTAGTTCTGCTGATCCACAAACATGAGAGGTCTTTCTATCTTCTAGTATTCGATTTCTCTTGACAATATTTTATAGTTTTCATTGTAGAGGTCTTTCACCTCACTGGCTAGATTTAGTCCTATTATAATTATTATTTTTTGAGGTTACTGTGAATGGGATTATTTTTCTGATTTCTTTCTCAGCAGATTCATTATTGGTATACAGGAAAACTACTGACTTTTCTATGTTGATTTTGTAACATGCTACTTTACTGACTTAGTCTATTAGTTCGTGCGGTATCCTAGTAAAGCTTTCTGGATCTTCTAAGTATAGAATCTTATCTACCAAACAGATAATTTTACTACTTCTTTTCTATTCTTTATCCTTTTTATTTCTTTTTCTTGCCTAATTGCTCTGGCTAGAATTTTTAGTATTATATCAGAGTGATGAGAGTGAACATCTTGTCTGGTTTTGAATTTTAAAGAAAATACTTTCATTTTTTCTCCCTTTTCATTATGATGTCACCTTTGGGTTCATTGTATACAGCCTTTATGATGTTAAAGTAATTTCTTTATATCCCTAGTTTTTTCTTAATTTTTTTTTTAGTTGTAGATGGACACAATATCTTTGTTATATTTATTTATTTTTGTATGTGGTGCCGAGGATCKAACCCAGTCCTCATGCATGTGAGGTGAGCGCTCAGCCACTGAGCTACAGCCCCTGCCCTTTTCAGTGTGTTTTATCATGAATGGTCGCTATTTATGTTAAGTACTATATTATGTTGAAGGCTTTCTCTGCATCTATTGAGATGACTATGTGATTTTTGTTCTTAATTAGCAGTATATCTTTACTGAAGTGCCAATTCACATCTTTTACTTATTTTACAAAGCTGGATTATCTGGTTAGAGAACTGTGATAATATTCTTATATTCTTCATATATTCTAGATAAAAATACTTAGGGGTTGTGGCTCAGTGGTAGAGCTTACCTTCCACATGTGAGGTACCACATAAAAATAAATAAAATAAAGGTATTGTGTCTATCTACAACTAAAAAAAATTAAAGAAAAAAAAAACCTTGTTAGATACGTGTTTTGCGAATACTTTCTCTCAGTCTATAGTCTGCCTTTTCATTTTTGTAACCTTCCCCTCCACCCCCCCCCCCTTTTTTGAGTTACAGGGGATAGAACTCTAACATTGAGCTACATCTCTAACCCTTTTTATTTTGGGACAGTGTCCCACTAAATTGCCAAGGTTGGCCTTGAACTTGTGATCTTCCTGTCTCAGCCTCCCAAATAGCTGGGACTACACAAGTATGCTACTACCCTCAGTTTCATTTTTGTAACTATTTTTTGGAGAGCAAATGTTTAATTTTATTTAAGTGTAATTTATTGACTTTTTTCCCTTTTATAGCTCATGTTTATTTCTTTTTTCTTTTTTTTTGGTCCCATTAAGAAATCTATGCCCAAACTAGGGTCATTAAGCTTTTGTCTTATTTTAGAAATTTCAAAATAGTTTTAGCTCTTACACTTAGTACTGTGATCTACTTAATTAATTTTGTTTCTCTTTCTCAAAGCTGTTTTAGCTAGATTATGGCTTTTGCAATTTCACATACATTTTAAGGAAAGGGTTGGGTTCATTTTTTTGTAATTGACTATTAACCTGTTTGAGCACAATTAATGAAAAAATTACCCTTTCCCTTCCCTGAATTAGCACTTTTGTCAATAAATTAATTTGCCACATATATATATTGATTTACTCTTCAGAACTCCTTATACTGTTCCACTAATCTATTCTGACTATTCCATTTTGGAACTTAAATGTCCCCCAAAAGCTTATGTGAATGCCTACTAGCCAGCTGATGGTGCTATTAGGTGGTGGAATCTTTAGGAGGTGGGGCATAGTTGGAAGTAAGTTAACTCATTGGGGGTGTGCCCTTGAAGGGGATAATAGGACCTTGATCCCTCCTTTCTTGTTTTCCAGCTTCCATGAGATGAGCACTTTCCTCTGCCATATGCTTCTAYCATAATATATGRCCTTGACAAAAGCTCAGAAGCAATGAAGGCAAGTGACCATGGACTGAAAACTCTGAAACTGTAATCCAAAATAAATACAACTTTCTTTTATTTTACTTTTCTTAGGAAAGCTAATTAACATATGCCATTAGCAGACTAAAGTAGTTATAGTAGCTTTATAATAAATCTTGAAAWCAGTATTATGGAAACTGGTGAATCCTCCAATTTTGTTACTCATTGTCAAAACTGTTTTGTCTAGCTTACGGCTTTTGCAAATTTGCATACATTTTAAACTCAGCTTGTCAATATCTAGCTCCCCTCAAAAAAAGTGTKTAGGGAGGCTGAGGTTGTGGCTCAGTGGTAGAGTGCTCATCTAGCACATGTGAGGTACTGGGTTCGATCCTCAGCACCACATAAAAATAAAAAAGATATYAAAACTAAAAAAAAAGTGTGAAGGACTTTGGAAGTTCAGTTCATCTTTAGATAAACTTGAGAAGAATTTGTATCTTAAAAATATTTAGTTTTCTAAGCTGGGCGTGGTGGTATATGATTGTAATAATAGCTTGGGAAGCTGAGGCAAGAGGATCACCAAGTTTGAGGTCAGCCTCAGCAACTTACCAAGGCCCTAAGCAATTTGGTGAGACCTTCTCTCAGAATAAAAAATAAAAAATAAAAAGGCTCTGATGATATACCTCAGGAGTAAAATCCCTATAAGTTCAATCCCCTAAGAAAAGAAATTTAGTTTTCTAATCTACAAATATGGTATACTACTCCATTTATTAAGTATGTTCACAATATCAATATATTTTCTCTTCCTTTTAGAACCTGGAAGACTATAGAGATGTCATCCTTTCATTCCTGATACTGGTGATATGTCTTTTTTCCTGATTAGAATCTATTTTATTTATTTTCTTAAGAACTAACTTTTAGTTTCATTAGTTTTCTTTTTATCATCCCTTTCTTTGCTTACCTTGAGTTTAACTGCTCTTATCTTTCTAGTTTCTTAAGGTAGAAGTTTAGATTGTTGATTGATACTTTTTCCTCTCATATGAATTCAATGTTATAATCTTCCTCTAATTACTGTATTAACTGTATCACATACATTTTAAAAGATTGTAGAGTTAACTTGTGGAAAACTGRTAACAATAAAAATAATCACTATCCAGAGAAATGTAGACTGTGCCCTGTGGAATACAATTGTCACTTTGTAAGTTTTTTTCCCCCTCACATTTTTGCATTCATCTTTAAATAAATTTTAGCATTCCTTATTTGACTATAAATGTGCAGTAAAGAGTTCTCTCTTGAACTAGTTTGTAAAGTCTTATTGCTTTCTCAATTAACAATGAGATAAAAAAAACTTTGATATGTTCATTATCATGAGTCATGATTTTCTAATATTTTCTTTTAACAATATCTATTTTATTTATAAACCCAAGGAATCCATGAACTGTGTCTAGCATTCTAAAAACATTGATTTTGTTATTACATAATTATGTACTAAAATTAGTAAAAACTTTTCCATACTCTTGGAAGTTTAGAAACTTAGGCCAAGCAACTATGTTTTCTCATGTATTATCATTTTAAGCCTAATATGCAAACATGTTTACTGCAGATAATGCTCTAAGTAAAACAAGACTTAAAAAAATTAATATGACACTAATATAAAGTTAAGGAAGTAAGCTTAAAATGTACTAATGTAATACTTTCTTAACAATATTAAGAGTTTTAGAACTTTAGAAAGATACCTGATTAATCTCTACACTGTATTAATTCCTATAATGCACATTAAGTCATGAAAAGGGAAATATTTTTCTGAAACAATTTAGACAATACTTAATAGTCACCCGTCCTTCCAATAAATCATTGGGTTTTATTTTAAATTAGTAACCAGATAAAACTCCTCCAGATTAATGATAATTTTCAAAAGAGCTACTTATTTGTATTTTAAAAGCCAAAAGAACTACCTTACAATTTCCAAAATTTTTAAATTTAAAAAGCCATATACTTACATGTAGGCAAATGTACAAGAAAAGGAGTCACACAAACAGTAATCTACAGTGTCCATCATTAATGCAAARTAACCTCTAATTTAATCCTTTTACCTTTTATTTCCAATAAGCATAATGACCATGTTGGAATTGGAATGCTGGCGGGCATCTTCTAACCAGGTTGTCAAGTGGTTGAAYGTATCTCTCCTAAACATAAATGATAATTTGATTACATTTTCAAAGTATTTTTCTTAGTGGTGCACAATGATAACCATTTTTTGCCATATCCCACTTATATAATGAGAAACAGTTTGCAAGTACAAAATTTGAGTTTAGAGTTCAGTGATTATATTTTAGTTTAGAAATTAAATGTAACCACACTTAGAAAATTCCAACAAATAAATAATCTTACCAAGTTGATAACTCAGGGCACTTATTTAAGTAAGAAAAAGAATTCTGCTGCAGAGTTCTGTAGTAAATTTAAATTTGATTCAAGATAAATAGTTTTCATGGTAAGCCAGGGCATAAAGACAAAGCTAGTTTTATTAGTGCAACCATACTTGTTTAGAAATAATCTCTGCACCGACCACTGAACTGAACAACTGACAAGTACTCACCTTGTAATATCATACACTAGTAAAGCCCCTGCTGCACCTCTGTAATACGACCTTGTGATGGAACGAAAGGACTCCTGCCCTGCCTGTGAAAAAAGAAAAAATTGGAAGTTTCCTTTAAAACTCTCTTCTGCATTTTCATGTCACTCATACAGAAAATATGGGGAGAGGTACATAAAAAGAGAGAGAAAATCCTCACCAGTTTCTGGAAAAAAGTCAATATCACTATTGCTCAAGTCACTAGGATGCACATACAGGRTTCCTGCAACCCTAGGTTTTGCCACCCGAAAAAAGACCCCTAACCTTTTTTGGCAATCCCTGACAACCCAATTTACTGAATGGTTTCACAATACATGAATCATTATTAGAGCACAGAATGGACTCCTAGCAACTAAGCTCTGAAGACAAATTTGAAAGGAAGCAAATAACCCAGAGCCTCACATTTGAATTCAATAACCCACTCCCTGGGGCAGCTGTTGACACTAGAATAAATAAAGCCCATTGTAAATAAATGATGAATGACATCTTTACGCCCACCATCTGCTGGTGTAAAGGTTGTTGGAAGGCCAAGGATGCAGATTTTATCAGTTATATCATAAACTGCAGAGAGCTTTCAATAGTCATAAGATGGAATTCTTTGAGCAATCATTTTATTATGAAAAACAGAAAATGGTTCTGAATTTAATTTATTTAATTTTTTCCTCCACACTTAATCAATTTTCTCTGCATTTGATATACAATGCTTGTCAAAAGGCAATAGGATGTAAAGTCATCTTTATATCCACTTGTGAAACACACACCAGAGATTAAACAAAATTAGGTAATTTCTCTAACTCATGGTACTAGCATTCTGCTTTGTAAGAAAGGATAAAAAGGGATAGGACTATTGCCTGAGTTTAAACTGACAGAGTTCTTATTAAAAGTGCTKCTTAAAATTTTAATCATTTTACCTTTAAGGAAAAATAAGCATTTAAATTAAGTAAATAAGCCAGTTTTAACAATTTTTGTCTTAAAATCTGTAGTTGGAAAATATTGTTTCACATGTTGAGTTCTGACATTCCAAGTTATATCTAAAGCCTTCCCACCCTTGTAATGCACAGAGACAAGCTCATAATCTGCCAGTTCTAACACTTACTACTCTGTAATACCTTGCTCTTGTGGGCTCTCCAACTATATTCCTTCCCTCCCATGCCTCTACCCTCAATGCCCATCACTGGGGATAGCATACAGCTGGCACTCAGAGAGAGTCTGATAAATGAAAGAATAAATCCTAATTTCCTAGTCACCTGCAAAAAATGGGTTAGTACTCCATCTTGCCTAAATAAAAAGACATGCTAACATTCAATGGAAATAACTTCTTCTGTGTAGAAATTAACAGATCCTCTCTTGGTAACCAATTCTAGCACTTACAATCAGATCTTATACTAGTGAATGAGAAAAAAAAAAGGTGCAAAAATAACCAACTCATTCTACACAGGTTAAAAAACCATATGGTACCGTTCAGGAACATAAAATTAATTTTTATGTATGTACATTTATTGAGTATTATCTTTCAAAAAAGTCTTCAAATCCAAGTTCAAAAYGGAAATATTAGGAGAATTCCTTCTTTAATGGGAAAACTAAGAACTAGATATTTAAAAGATTTATTTTATTATGAATCATATATACCAAGAAAGGATTCTGTGGCAAACAATACAAAATGGGTGTATTTTACAAGTTCAATATAAAAATCATGTTTAGATATCTTATATTTCTCAAGGCTAACCATCAAGTGAAGGTAAAAATCCTTTAAAACAACATCCTTGGAAAATTCTGTGGGGTGAATTATATGAATGCATTGGTAGAAAAGCACTACTAAAAGACTTCAAACCTTCAATGATAAGATACCGTAAAACAGTAAAAGGGAAAATAAACTTAGGAAAAGGAGAAAAGCAAACTTTTATAAAACATTCCTATTCTTCCTGAACTGTTCTTCAGRGAACAAAAAAATATGTTCCAATATGGAAATAACTTATACAACACATCACTTTATACTAAGTCCACTGAATCTGGAATTTGCCTATTAATACAAAATCAGACAAAACTTCAAGCAAATAAAAACCCACACATTTCAATCAAAGACTATAAATTTAAGTATGCCTCTTAAAATGCATAATTATTCTGTAGTAAATGAAGATCTATGTTAAAAAGTTTCCTAATTTTTGAGACCTGACCATTATATATCCTGGTTTATGGTAAGGGAATTGGCAGCCTTGAAATAAAACTGGTCCAATAAAGTGTTTTATTATAGTTTCTCTAACTGTAAATAAACTATTATACAAACTAACTGCATAAAGCTAGTCTGATGTTAACTATTTTGATATTGGAGTGAAATAATCTAATTTTTAAAAAGTACTTTCATACCTGTCTAAACTCTGATTGACTTACATTGTGAAAAATGTTAATTCAGGAAACACAGGTGTTATGTTTGATCCTCTTTAACTATAAAATATTGGTTAAGAGTAAGAAATTTCTGATGGAAGCTCAGGATACAAAAGAAAAATGCATTTAATGAAAATAGGAATGACTAAGTGAATAGCACCAAAAAACAAATAAACCTGGGCTATGGGTAGCCTGAATGGACCATGTGGTTCTTTCAGCTTACAACAAGACTGTCTGACTTCTTAAAATAAAAACCAACAATATACCCAGATATACACAAAAGTTGAGCAGATCAAGTCTGCTTCAAGAGATAATGGGCATACTCATTTAGTGATGCTTAGCATTAAAAGCAGAGTCATGAAACATTTGTGCAAAAGGAGTCTTACAGACCTTCATTTTTCATTTAAATATTGCTAAATCAAACAAACTTGCTCCTCTGAGCCATTTAAAAAACTACTTCCAATACCATATAAAGACTCCTCCAAACTGGTGTTCCCATGTGACTGGCTCTTTCTGTTGATTACAAATTTTGTAGTAACAGGCTGGCAACTATATCTCCACAAAAACATGACTTTACACATTATGCTATTGCTCAAAAATCTCTTAAGTAACTTGAGAGTTAAAGCTGTAAACTCAACAATCTCATTTCACTTGTCTCTAAAGCATTTTTTTCTTATTGAGAAAATGTCTTGATACATTTTCATCCTCCAGAGATTTTGCCTGTAGTCTGAATATTCTTGCTTTGCTGTCTCTCCTAACTCCCTGCCTCAAAAACTGCTTTTCTCTTCCTTCCACCTATCCAATTTCTATTTCCTTAGAGGACTAGTTCAAACTCCTAAACTTTTCACAAAGTTAGGAAGTTTGTCTACAATAGTCCACAATTACCCTTTTCTCAAAAAAAATCCAAAAGCACTCTCATGTGATCTTAATACCACTGATTAGACAAAATGAATAYATCACTCAAATGCAATTTTCTTTTAGTTCTCCTTGAGAGCCTAAATCAGAGTATGAAGTGTATTTACAGTCGGCACTGAAATATGTTATCTTGATTGATCCCAAAGAACCGATAAAGTTAAAAAATTAAGATTTGTGAAAATCAATATTATAGTAATGCTTCTCTTACTTTCATTGTTAGTCATTTATCTAAAAACTCCAGTTATGTAGACTAGATAAGAACCAAAAAGGAAAAAATATAAATAGCCAAATAAGTTGTCCACTGACTAAGCATTATATTTCAGGAACTTCACTAAATAGACTCAATTTTAAAATTTAGACCAATAATCAGGGAATTTATTTCACTGAGGTGAAAAATTTTGAAATCTATATGCATGAACAAGACTTCTGTTTTGGATGACCATTAGAGTTAAGAATCAAACTGATTTTTAGTATTCCTATGTTCACAGCAAGGATGGTAAGAAAACCAACCTAGGCTATTTTATTTTAAACCTACTAAGGGGACTAAATCAGGTCCTGAGGTTGGAAATATCTAGAAAAAATARCACAAGTTAACTGCTTTTAAATATTGAGAATATTTACTTGAGGGGGGCAGGGAGAGGATATAATCAATCTCCACTATAGATTTTTGAAATACTGCCACATAAGAGAAACTGAAGGCCACAGGTGAGAGGTAATCACTAGAGTAGAAAAGGCTGAACAACTGTAAAGGAGGTAAAACAGTAGGATCTCTAAACTTCTCAATGGAGATGGGGTGGAGTGGGAGTGTGAAGGGAGCAGCGATGATGATAGGCAGAAAGTGAAGTAGGACTGTTTCTCAGCCTAGAGTTCCACGTGCCTTCCTTTGGCCCTACTGCATTCTGGATATCCATCCTTACTGATAGATTAAAACAAAATATTATTCCATTTTAAAATAAGAAGTCAAAAGAATAAACTGACATGATTTTCAAAAGAAAAACAAAAACACACAACAAAGAAAAGCTTTGATTCATTAACAAGGAATTTTGGCATACAAGTTTCTACATAACTGTCAATACTCCAATACATATTTGATGGAAAAAAATATTTGTAAATCTAAAATATATATTTATAGGGAAATTGAACAGATACATGTTCTAGATACTTAACTAAAAAACCCATACTACAAATTTTGATGGGGGAGATTTATTTGGATATACTGGGAAGGCAAAAGTGATAAAAGACAAAAGATGAATAAGAGTAAAATGGGGGAATCAAGTCTGGCTAGGGTTTAATAGGGAGAACAGACTTCATTTTGTCCTTCATCCACCAATCAATGAACAGGAAGTAGGTTCAACTTATGTTTCTTCATTGACTTATTCTGAAATAGACACATTTGGCTTTGGCTTTTGATTAAAAAAAAAAAAGTCACTCATCAGAGGGCAAAAAGGAGGAGGCACTGGACTGATAAGACTATCACTGCTTCCAGCTGTGAAACTGACTGATGGCCTCAGGCCTCTAAGGAGTTATCTGCTGGCAGCTATTTTTACAATTTGAAAAAAAAACAAAAAAAAAGTGGGGAGAGGTTAAAAAAGAAAACAAACAAAAGATTAAAAAAGAAAACAAACAAAAGATGGCAAACGACAATTTTTGGGGGAAGTGAAAATAGATACACAATAAATGACAAACATCCTAATATATGAATTGGCCATGGGGTGAGGATGAATTAATACATAACACTTGGCTAATATTGCCAAGAGAACTCTGGGATGATTTTCAAAGTGTCCTCAGTTAGAACAGACATGACTCTCACAACTAAAAATGCAATAATCTATACAAATGTCTAGAAACACTGCTAAACTTGGTATTGGGAAACCCTGTTTCACTAAGATATAAACTAAATGTGAAACCAACCTTAATCATGATTACATTTGTGGCAGAGTTTTGGAAGTAAGGTATAAAAGAAAACCAATGAAAGTAAGAGAACAATCTATAAGAAACCACTTTCAAAAAAGTTAACAATTTTTTTTGAAACAGTTCTTAAAATCTAGAACAGGTCACTGGTTATTAAAGTCCTGTCCTTTGCATTCTAGGATCCCTGAATTTCTTTTTTAGGGTGGTGATGATGTCTTCAAAAGTACTCAAGTCTTTCTCTTTTAAACAAAGAAGAAAGCTAGTCTTCTGCCCCCACCCCAGGCAAAATGAGTTTTTTCTTTTATGTTCCTCTCATTATTGCATAAGCAACTATTCTAGATTTCTTCTGAAAGATACGTAATGCAAGAAAATCTATTCATAAGCTGAAAGAAAAAAWTTTTAAAAGTTCCCATCAAAAGAAGGATGATAAATTAAACCTATAAAAGACCACTGGGAATGAATCATTGAGTCAAATTTCTCAAAACAAGAATTAAGGGAACACTTTAAGTACAAAATAACAGTGAAATAAAGTAGAATAAACTACAGACAACAAGTGGTTTTGTTTAAAAGTTTATATTAGCCTTTCCTTTTTGAAGCTATGTACTTCACTAGAAGACATCTCSTAAACACATCCAATAATCCTGCAAGTTGCTTAGCAGAATGAGATTCTGTACTTAATTCAGTAAAATTTACTAAACACTGTTATCAGTGACTGAGTTAAGAACAAAAGATGCAAAATTGAACAAGACAGAGTTGGTACCTTCTCTCACAATGCTTATTCTGATGATAATATGTGAACAAAAACATAAGATGACAATGGGACCAGAACGTTAATAAAATATGCATAAAATATTTTGGGAAGAATAAGTTATTCTCATGGGGATCAGAAAAGCTTCTGAAAGAGTTGACAACTGAGCTAGCTTTAAATAGAAAAAGTCTGAAAAGAGGCATTTCAAGCAAAGCAAGTATTTATGTATTTAACATATGAAAAATGTGTTTATTAGGGTAGCAAATAACCTGGTTCAGACTTCTAGCCTGAATGTGTGCTACACAACGTTATAAGAAAGCAATTTAGTTTGTACAAATCAGTTCGGAAAAAAAAGAAAAAAAAACTTCCTTTTGGTTGGTGATCATAATTTCATACCTTTCACAAAGAAAACGACTCATTTTATGTTCTCTTTTCCATGCAGTTTTGAAATTAAGTAGCTTTAGAGAATGTAAATAAAAAATGTTTTGAGATGCTATATGCTTAGGAGGAAACTCCTAAGAAATAGTAAAAGTATGAATCTTCAATGAAGAAGAGGTCAGAAAGTACAAGATCCCTGAGTCTAATGCATAACACTTAGAGCAGTACCAAGACACAGGGTTTACTACTTAAGGGCCAACTGTGGGATATACAGCATGTATCAGGAAACCTAGGACCCCAAACAGCTTCCAGCAACTTGCTTAGTCTCGAGAATCCTGACCGAGACTAGATATTCTCGTGATTCCTTCCTTCAATAGCTATTATCTATCCATGACAAGTCGGTCTTATGTGTGTGTAGTTGATGTAACTTCCATAAAAGTTGCAGTGATTATCCTAACAGGTAACAAGTTTATTATTGTTATTTTAAAATGAATTGGAGGCTGAAACCAAAAAGTTTGAAAACTGCTMTCTTAGGACATTAACTGAATTATATAGTAACTTCATTTTTAAGAATCTAAGATCAGTGAATAGAGAAAACAGCCACTCAAATTATTTTCTGTATTCAGTAGTTTAKATAAGAAACCACCACTAAAATCTATAAAGCATGGCATATGCTAGGTGCTCAATGAACAGTGACAAATGACAGAATTAGTTATTGCATTAGGACAAAATGGCTTCAAGTGGTTGGAACTAAGTCAAATAAAATACATTAATAAGTTGTCAGGATAAGTTACCCTACACAATCGATATTTTATTTTACTACATATGTATATTTCTGACATGCTAATTATTTCTCTTAAAAGTATGGTTTCTAATGATTTACAGTAGAAGGGGTAGAGAGAGAAAAGGGGAGGGGAGGGGAGGGGGGATAGTAGAGAATAGGACAGACAGCAGAATACATCAGACACKAGAAAGGCAATATGTCAATCAATGGAAGGGTAACTGATGTGATACAGCAATCTGTATACGGGGTAAAATTGGGAGTTCATAACCCACCTGAATCAAACTGTGAAATATGATGTATTAAGAACTATGTAATGTTTTGAAAGACCAACAATAAAAAAAAAAAAAAGTATGGTTTCTAGAGCACTTTCATTTAGGCTTCACTTCATTTAGCATTCACTCAGATACACTCACCAATACCCAACACCTGCAGACCAAGCTGCAAAATCACTGCATAGGAGAAACCAGTTTTCTTTATCATATTTTGCTTTATGGCTATAGAATTTTAGTATCTAAAAAACTATAACAAGCAAAAAGTAACATTAAAACAAAACAAGCATACAATGTACTTTTATAAAATAACTTTATTGAGGTCATACAATGTACTTTTAAAATACTTACCGTATCCCATATCTGAAGTTTTATCTGTTTTCCATCAATTGTTATCATTCGAGCACCAAACTCTACACCTAAATAAAACAGAAAATGATTTGTTAAATAAATTAGTTGAAATATATTTTGCATTCAAAGATTAAAATGATGAATTCTAATTTCCAGGACATGCTATGCTGTGACATACAGATAAACTTTTAACAAAAAATCTGCTATCCTTGGAAAATACATAGACTAAGACAGAGGTGCTGGTAAGACATAAGCTAAAGACAATTAAAATATGAAGATAGTAAAGTCTGGCATAGTCAATATCAAGAAACCAACTGTGGCCTTCAAAGACTCAGTAACAAAAACAAGAAGTGATTAAAGCTGAGTGTGGTGGTGCATGTCTATAATCCCAGTAACTCTGGAGGGGGAGACAGCAGGATCTGAAGTTCAAAGCCAGTCCCAGCAATTTATTGAGGCTCTAAGCAACTTAACAAGACCCTRTTCTCAAAAATTAAAAAAAAAATAATAAGGGCTGGAGATGTATCTCACTGGTAAAGTACCTGTGGGCTTAATCCCTTGTAAGGGGTAGTGGGAGAAGCAATTCAAGAGCCATATTTGAGTAATGTATACTAAATATTAAAGTTTCTTAAGAAGTACATTAACATTGTGTAAAAACATCATTCTAAAAAGATCAGATATAAAYTTCAACCTAATCTTGATTTCCAGAATGGGTAATCAACTAGGAGGGAAAAAAAAAACCCCTCCAAATCTGTGCACTAGAGGATAAAAGTCACTATTTAAACTTATTTCTAGACACTTCTTCATGAGTACATACACATGCAGAATTAGTACACACTTTTACATAAATTGTGTGCATATAAATGCTATTCTCTGCAACTTGCTTTCCATTAAGTAATACACTTAATTCCCTATCACAGAGACTTTATTCCCTATCACAATCATTCCTGAAGTCAATAAAAATGAACTACACCATTATTTTTGCTATYTGCACAATATTCCTTCGTATATAGATGAATTACTAAATTGACGCTCTATTGCTACAAATTTAGGTTGTTTCCTTGTTTACACTATGAAATGAACTTTCTTTATTTTTTAGTTGTTGATGGACCTTTACTTTACTTATTTATATGTGGTGCTGAAAATCAAACCCAGAGCCTCACACATGCTAGGCAGGTGCTCTACCACTGAGCCACAACGTCAGCCCTGAAATGAACTTTCTGCATACATTTTTCAATTACTATAATTCTAGGCAAATTCAGGAAGTAGAACTGTAGGTAAAAGGGAATACAAAATTTCTGTTTACAAGTTCACTCCTTTGCCTTTTTTATTTGTATTTATCATCTCTTTGGAAAATATTCAAATATTATTATCTCTTTGGAAAATATCAAAGCAGGAGAAAAAGAGGAGATAATTTTATAATAGCAAACAAATGGGAAGACAAYTCTGAGAGTTGTCTATCACTTACATCAAATCATCAGTTCCTGAAATATATTCTATCGGTATTTAGATCAGAGTCAAAGGTGAGAAGACACACATGGTCTCCAGAAACCAGATGTCAGTATTCTGGCTGAAAAATAGCTTCTAGTTTACCATGGAAGAGCATACTGCCTATGTCAGAAATTCATTTCAGTATCATCTATGACTCCTTCAACTGTGATCCGGAGGGTGAGATAGAAAGTTAATTGGTCCTTCCATGATATAACTTAATGTGAGTTTTCACTCTATATTTTAATACTTATTCCATCATTGGGGCATAGATAATACCAAGAAAATAATGGTGACATTCATGTTTTTAGAGCTTGGAAATATAGGAAACCTAGAAAAAAGAGACTTAGGAATCATGATGTACTAGTATTAAAAATAAAAAAGTACAAAATTATGCCAGAAAACCATTTACATATGTACATGAATAGTTCAATATATATATACACATATATGTGTGTATATATATACATATATGTATATATATATGTATATGAGAGAGAGAGAGAGAGAGAGAGAGAGAGAGTGTGTGTGTGTGTGTGTGTGTGTGTTTGTGTATGTATGTGTGTAAAATCCTCTCAACCCAAGTTCTGTGCCACCAGGTGGTGACATCCACAAAATCACCCGGTCAAATGACATGAAAATTAAAGTACTTAAGGGAAGAAATAGGGGGCTAATTATGGCATACATGTTTTTTAAAACAGCCAGTATTTAAAAGGAACGTACTAAAGCACAAAATTCTACATATCAACAAGATATTTGACAYAGTGGAAGCTTTTTCATAAAGCTATGTTTGTATTCACAAATTAGAAAGAAATTATATTTTTTTTCCCCACTGTATGGGTAAGCTGGCTTTCAACCACAACCAAAAAACAACTACATTATTCACTGGGRTTTAAGACTTTTTCAATTCAATATACAATGTCAGATTTGACCAAAAAAACAACTATGAATTAGAAACAAACACACAAATGCTCCTGATACCAAGGGTATGCATGCAAGGCAACAGGGGCAAGCAGATGCTACCTCTGTGGAACTGACATCTGGAGGACAGGGATAAAAATAATAAGACTGATTGGTGACTATTCCATTTCAACAGAGGAAAGGCTAACAAGACTGCTCCTGCGGCAGGACTGATGTTGCAGCTTCTACTTCCTGGCCTTTGAGAGGCTTTGTTACTGCCATTCCTAATTCCAAATCTCCATCTTCCTGTAGAATCTACATGCAACTTCAGACATTGTGATATATTCCCTTATACTAAGCCTAAGTATATTTCTCTCTTTATTCAAAGTAGGTAGATAGAGGTTGGTGAAGCTTTAAGTCTTTAAACAAAGATTTTGCCTCTAAACTTGTCATATGAAAATCAAGAATATCTCTAAAGCAGGGAAGTGTCATAATATGATTGATGTTTTAATTTCATTTCTCAATAGGATGAGGACACAAAGAAGGAAACAAAAATAACAAGATGCAGAGACCAAATAAAAGGCTACTATATTATTTAGGCATAAGATACCAAGTGGTGGTAGGAAAATACAAAACACAAGCATTAATTACTGAAACCATGACTTTTGTTTTCCTATTGAATGCAATAGAAACAGGCTTTGGTTTCAGCATCAGAAACATAACCCATTCCCACTTACCTTCTCAAACTGGGTCCTGTATAGGTCTCACCCTTACATTCTATGTGGCAAAAGAAAATACTAAAATCTAATGTATGTTCAAAGTCTCAGAAATAAATATTAAAAGCAAAAACCTTATTTCTTTACTGGATTGTTAAAAAATGTGTCTTTTCCCCCCATTTAAAGGTATACATGCTTGAGAATTCCATTTAGAAAGATTTCTTTATCTTTTTTATGAGCTAAACTATTACCTGTATGCCACTGAGACTCTTTTCCATTTTCAATTAATAGCCAATTTGGCTGACAGAGAAATTATCTGTTGAGTCAAAGTCAAGACCTCATTTACATGACATTGTCAGGGAGTGCGGCTTATTTTTAAAAATAGGTTATAGRATCCAACTTTCTAGAACAAAATGCTCTTAAGTAAAATACTTTTTCTAATTGTCTCTAAATCATTATCATCCTTATACAATAATTAAACCATTTACTGATAATTACTCATAATCGATACCTACTAGTTGAATGATCATGGGAAAGTTATTAAACCCTTTCTGCCTCTTAGTTTCCTTACCTGTAAAAAGGTATTCATGATACCAACCTCATGAATTTTTTTTCTGTCCAGGTTAAAAAGGTTACTATATAGCAAACAGAACAGGGTCCAACACACATTAAGTATGCAGAACATGAGTTATTGTTATTATTATTTCATATTATACAACAGAATTTCTAAAATTACATCCCACTTAATAACGAATGACAGCTTTGATGAGAAAGGGGACCTGTCAGAGCCAAGTAACTGTGAAGGTTAGAGATGTGCAGAGGTAGAATGTGGCTTCTTTCCCCAGGTGAGGCTGGGCATGATCACGTGGGCCTCCTTGTAATGTCAAGGCCCAAACCTCCAGGATGCTGGGGTACAAGGTGATAATGCCAAATCAGAGAGAAGTGTTATCAAGCAAACAGGCAGTCCCAGCTTTTGTCAGACTGGCATGAAAATATATTGGCCCCTATGCCTCATTATTATTTAGACATTGTGGAGGTTCAAAATGTAGGCTTCTGGAAAGATGGCTTGATTTTTCCTAATTCTAGAAACAAAGAAAAGCTTGATATAAAAAGTAATGTCCTTTGTTTCCTATGGAAAACAAAACAGCAAATACCATATTTAATGGTAAAAACACTAAAGGAATTAAAATTACTATGAAAAAAATATTACAAATGTCCTGAACTTGAAGTTATTCTAGAGATTTTGTCAAAATTATAAAAATACAACTTAAAGATATAAATATTAGCTAAAAAATTTAACGAAGRAAAAAAAGGCTAATAGTAAAAGTGACAAAAATATAACAGATAATTCAAAGACAGTACAAAGAAATAGTTCTTAAACATACAAAAAAAAAAATGATCAGCTGCACCAAAAAATAAAAAAAAAAAAAACCTGAAAAAATAAACATTTGTTGCCTTTATGATTCACAAACATTAAAACTGTAATAGAGGCAAGAGTGGAGAGAGAGATATGGGTACTTTAGTACATGGGTAGGGAGAGCAATTTGGGACAAGTTAAGTCTAAGAGGCCTACCAGACATCTAAGAGAGGAGATGTTGAATACACAGATGGATATATACATGATGTAAGGGGAACTCTGGAGAGAGTTCAAGAAGAAATGGGTGCAGAGAAAYTGAAGACAGAAAATGGGGATTATTCTTTCTGAGGAATTTTGCTAAAATGAAAGAAGAGAATTGAAAGCTGGAAAAGAAAATAGAATCCTGCAAAATAACCATCAAAAAGGAAAAAATTAAGAATGTCTGGAGAAAAAAGAACAGAGCTTAAGAATTCTTCCACAGTAGCAGGGGGAAGGCTGACTTGATTGGCTCAATGACAGTAAATGGTTGACACGGTGATTGGAACCTGTGAAAAAGTTCTTCCAACCTATCTCTAACTTTCTGAGTGAAACAGAAACCAAGATTATCAAC